AAAGACACACCCTACCTCATTAAAATATTGGTTCAAAAGAAAGGAATGCTGCCTAGCCTGTTGAAATGGCTGAGAAAGCCACTTGGGGGACATTCTGAGTTCCCAATTGATTATTCATGTGATATATAAAAGTAAGTGTATATAAGGGAGCATTTTCAAAAATGGAAAGAGGTGGGTGGGGTGCCACTGTGTTTGATTTATTACATGAGCAATATCTTAGCAAATTGAAAAAATAAGAGGCTCTTATATTATATTCTAGCTTGTCAATATTGGTAATTTGAATTTCGTACAAAACTACAGACTTAGTATTTTGACTTCACTCATCTAATTTGAACCAGTGATGCAATCAACATACCATGTGACACACAAAAAATCAATGTTTATCTGTGTAATTTTATTTGCTTTTAAATTAAGAAATTGAATAATATACAGTACTAAAATTTGAATTATAATCTACAGTTTGATACCAAACTTATTGACATAAATTCATAAAATAGTAGTTCAATATAAAAGTTTGAATGTAAGCCAACAAATGAGATGACGTGGCCTTTCATCCGTGACCCGTCTCAAAGGTTAACAGGAGTTTCTGTATGTAGAATAGCATGAAAACCTATTTCATTCTCATGCTGATTAAGGTATGTGATGGTTAAACAAATAAGACATGGAAGCAGCTTCTCCACACATGACCTGTGTAAATTTTTTAAGATGGAGAGCCTTCTTGATTACATGTTGTGTACTGTTTTCTGTGACAGTTTTTTCCGCTGACCTTTGTGTTCTTGGATTCTCAATAAGCCAAACTTTCATTATCATGGCTGTATTGCAACTTTTAGCAGGTCTCATTCTCGATGGTCTTAATCCAAGTTGATCCATATTCCTTTGTTTTCTAATGCCGTTAAGTACAAGGGATACCCTTACCTTGTAAGTTCTAAATTCCTGACCTGCATATCATTACTTTGTTTTGCTTTTACATAGTTTTATCAATTTTTGATGACATAACAATACCTACCCAGCACTATGCAATATGAAAATGTAGTTCTGATACATTCTGTTCCTTCCTGGACTTTATGTCAGCTGGGATTGTCATGTTACTTGCTCATTTTCATGTTTAAAAAAGCTATAACATATTCAATCTTTTCAGCCTAATTACACATACTTAACTATAATGAATACTCTTATAACACTTGTTTTTGTGTTCATTACATTATAAGGAAACAGTCCTACTGCTACTGTTGGTTTGTGTATTATGCTATAAGGAGACAGTCGTACTGCTACTGTTGATTTGTTTATTATACTATAGGGCAACAGTCCTACTGCTGCTGTTGATTTGTTTATTATACTATAAGGCAACAGTCCTACTGCTACTTTGTGTATTATAATATAAGGAACAGACCTACTACTATTGTTGGTTAGTGTATTATACTATAAGGAGACAGTCCTACTGCTACTGTTGGTTAGTGTATTATACTATAAGGAAACATTCCTACTACTACTGTTGGTTAGTGTATTATACTATAAGGAGACAGTCCTACTGCTACTTTGTGTATATAAGGAACAGACCTACTACTATTGTTGGTTTGTGTATTATAATATAAGAAAACAGTCCCCGTTGTGTATTATAATATAAGAAAACAGTCCCCGTTGAACAAAATTCAATAGTAGTAAAAATGGATTAGTTAAAATATTTGGTATTTAAAAAATATAAATTCTTGATCACTTATTTTGTTAGTCCTTCACTAGATGAAGCCACAGTAAAATGTAGATTAAAAATGTAATTTCTGATTGAAGATATGTCATGTTAACATTGAATAAATCTAGGCATGCATTTGTATAGTGCATGTTATCGGCCTGGTGTCGATATGAGGAAAAATTACTTTATTCACTAAGTGCCATTTTAATTGTTGTAGCCAATGAGGTACACATCATTTTTGCTTGTGGTCACATGGTACGTTATGATTCTTAAATAGTTGAGACAAGAATGTATTTACTGTTATGTGCAATGTGCTTTAAATATGTCACAAAGACATTAGATGATGAAGGTCCAAGACTAAAAGAAATTAGTAGCTGTTTAATGGAATTATATAGCCCTGGATGGTCAGCCATTTTCAGTTGGAGAAGATGCTGGATTTCACTGTCTTATTGAATTTCTGGAGTCTTGTTACACACTGCCCAGCAGAAGGTTCATATTTGACACTGCACTACCAGAACTGTACGGTGTCACTTTAAGACTCATATCGATTGTGTATCAGCATTAAGATCAACTGTCTGATATTTGGAGCTCTGATGTATCACCGATGTCAGTGCTAATCTTAACTGCACAGTGGATAGACATGAATTACAATTTACTAAAAGCAGAACTATAAGCTAAGTGGTTCCCATATGGTGGTTGCTATTCCAGAAAACGTGGAATATTCTGAGTACAAAATCTCTTGTGATTATCAGAGGTAATGGAAGATAATTTACAAAGACAATTCTATACTCTAGGTTTCTAGGTTGCCTTGTGTAGCACATACAGTCCAGCTCCTTATGGATGAAGATGTGGTATTGCAGTAAAGGGTGTCTGAAATACTGGCTATTGGATGAATAGTTGTTTGGTATTCCAAAACATACTTACCTCCCCTTACACTACAGCTATTACTTGACTGATATGGTTTCTTCCTTTGCCCATCTAAACATTGGTCTGATTTTTTCTCACTTGCTCCAGTCT